TAGAATATATAGCTCTGTCCTCCAACAGAAGGGAATGTCCCTTCATATTACCTAATATATACTGCCTCAGGAGATGCCATCACTCTGCCTAATAGTAAGCCTCATTTATCATACTGCATTGATAAAATTCATTTTTTCCACTACAGAAAGTCTCAAATTTACAGTACCCTCAAAAATCATTTTCTCTAAGTCAGAGAAAGCTCCTATCATAAAAAAAAATTAGTCGTAAGCAAGCCAGACCTACTGACACTGTATTTTTTTACAGAGACTAGTAAAATAATTTGCAGTTATTATACTGTATAAGAATAAAAGAACAAAAACAAAATGCAAAAGGCTAACCCAAATGATTAATAATTATGATTTCAGGTTTCTACAAGCAATACTTATGATTACTGTGTCTTTTTTCACATTGTTGAATCCTTCCCCAAAGCCTCCACAGTCACTATTAGGACTGACCTTTAAAGTTTATCAAATACTTAAGGAAAATGCAGGAAGAAAGAGGCGGATGGAAATAAGCTGGAGATATCAGTCTTACAGAAGTATTAATCTCAATTACAAAACTGTCGCTACATTCCAAACCTAAAGGAAAGAACCACCAACAAATGTTCCAAGTCAATTAAAAGAGGACAAATCTTCATTACAACTCCTACTTCTTCCTTACTAGAAGAATGAGAACTAATATCTGACTAAAACATTTTGAAGAAGTCAAACATGCAACTGAAAATCTGTATAAAACATCTGAAAGGTTCCTCACACACTATAAAATCTGATAAAATAGACACAATAGTCCTGTAGTCACATAATGGTGAGGTTGGGGATATACAACTGCTAATACAGTACTTCCCCTGCTACAGGAAGAGCTGTTACATCCAATGCAGGAAGAAAGTATGATGCTTTGCCTGGAGGAGTCTTTCTTGAATGAAGAAAATAAGAAAATACTTCATGGATACACTCTGAATCAAAGAAACTTACTCCCAGCTGCCAACCCTCCTCTAGAGCCAGCAGAGGCTGAGGTAGGACCGTCTGGTGGCTAGATAGGGATCCATCATCTCCGGCTAAGGAAGGCTCAGCGGCAGACTCTGAGATCAAGCCTTCCTCAGCTTCAGGGAGAGAACACAGCTAAAGAGAAAAGACAGCAGGCCCCAAATGAAGAGATGTACAAGGCTACATCATAGAAGGAGGTGAGAATACAGTTCCATAAGGAGCTGTAGATGTGAAAAGGAGTTTCCAAGATCTGCCTGGCTGTCTTTCTTTAGTCATATCAGAGCATTGCACAATTTAAAGTTACAGATGTGTATGCAATATAGATAAAATTAAAAACAAATTAAAATATTAAGATTAGCTTATTTTTGACCAGAAACAAGTTACTTCAATAGCGTTATCCCAGCCATTTGCTAGATCTTCTCTGTATGTGTGACGGGGCATAAATTGTATGCACATAAGTGCTGCATTGATTGAATTTCTCCACAAAGAAATTTTGTCCTTTATCCAAGTAGTTCCATTTTATTATTGTTTGATCTTCCTACTTTGCTTCAAAGCCTATTAGGTGACTTCCAGATGGCCTGCCTAGATACCTGCCTTGGTGGGAGAACTCTTCAGCATTCATCCATTCAGCAAGGTGTGTTGTTTTTGTTCTCTATAGATTTAGCCTAGCATCTTCTGGTTTAATATTTAGAGTTTAAGATGTGTGCAGATTTTTTCCCTTAATTTTAGTCATTGTTTTGTTGTTTTTATAATATAAGGAAAGATCTTCTAATGTAGAGGCTAGCTGGTGCTCAATGGCCTCAAAGGTTTTCCACTGGTCTGTTAGAAGAATGCTGTTTGCTCCAAGCAACACTTGCTGAGAACAACTATGAATTTGCTTCTCTTGTGCCCTGTTCTCAACAGTCCTAGATGGCTGGAAGAAGAGACCACTCTGACCAATTAGTACTGGCACTCCTTTCATGCATTTGGGGATGCAGTGGAATTTTGCTGCAGTAACTATTTTACTCCATGCATCTGGGCTACAATCTGGCTCAAGAAAAGTGATACAGTTGCACTGGAGGTGGCATGGACTGGAGTTAAGGATGAGGGAGAAATTAATTTAGCTCACATTCTGAGAGGAGCTACTCATTGTACTTTTGAAATAATAGGCAAATGGAAATGTAATTTTCCTTTGCAAATTTCAATGGAATTCTCCAATAAAGGTTGCTGTTGCTGTTTAGTTGTTAAGTCATGTCCGGCTCTTCAGGACTCCATGGACCAGAGCATACCAGGCCCTCCTGTCTTCCACTGTCTCCTGGAGTTGGGTCAAATTCATGTTGGTACCTTCAATGACACTGTCCAACCATCTCATCCCGTCATCCCCTTATTCTCTCGCCTTCACACTTTCCCAACATCAGGGTCTTTTCCAGGGAGTCTTCTCTTCTCATGAGTTGCCCAAAGCATTGGAGCCTCAGCTTCAGGATCTGTCCTTCCAGTGAGCATTCGGGCTTGATTTCCTTCAAAATACCTAGGTTTGTTCTCTTTGCAGTCCAGGGGACTCTCAAGAGTCTCCTCCAGCATCACAATTCAAAAGCATCAATTCTTTGGCAGTACCAATAAAGGTACTGTCCACAAAAATGATGTATCAGATGGAAGCACACACTCATTCATTAAACTATTGTTAAAATATATTAAAGTGCAAAAATACATATTTTAGTCAAAATATTAGTCAAGCAGCACACAAGAATGTGCATGACACATGCAAAACCCTCAAATTCTGGAACAAAAAGAACTGGAAGAACCAGAAAAACCCAAACTGACAGATTTGCCTATTTCTACTTAGAGCGTAGTATTTGGCCCTTACCAGGGCCAGGCAATATTGAGGGGATGAATGTCTCCACTCTTTTTCATAGTCAGTGTTTCAATAATAATCAGTTCTGTTACTGTAATCAACTAGAAGACTTACCACTTTATGGGTTATAGGATTTGATAATTCATTAGCAGAACAGAACTTCTGCCAAATCCTATGCCCATAAGGTGGCAGGTCTACCAGATGACTACACTCCAGATATCCAAAATAGCTAACAGCAAAGAGAGAACATTTACAAATGCATAACAAGCTGGAACAATAAATGTTAAAAGAATGAAGAACTGAAAGGGAAAAAAAGACATAAACAGGGTGCTTACAGAAGTACCAGTACAACAGCCAGAGCAAAACACAAACACAGAGGAAAGTCTATTTAAAAACTCAGAGAAACATGATTGCATTTGTCTTGCACCTAAGGACTAGAACAGAAAGTGAAGTCCCACTACAAAGATGACTGTATCACTAGAGATGGGATTTTTTTTATTTCTTTGACAACATAAATCCCATATCTACATATCACTGTTCAACGTCTCTCTCACCTCAGATAGCAGGGAAACTTGGAAAAGAGCTTCTAAAAATTATTTTAGACATTTTTCGGTTATATGAAGATTTTCTAGCAAGAACCAGAATTTTGTTGGCAGGCTCTACAAATGAGACTGTGTAAGAAAATCCACTAGGTTTACAATGTCTCTTCTTTAACTAAGGATTTGTGCATATTCAACAGGTCTTTTCAGGAGGGTTTCATAAGGCAACTTAGAAGACTATTATTCAAGAATCACACATTCAAAGCTGTATGGAGTATCCAGAAACTAACTGCACATCTCTCTTCATCATGTTTCAAGTATATAAAACACATACCGTGTTTTCCCCAAAATAAGACCTAACCTGAAAATAAACCCTACTATGATTTTTCAGAATGCTTGGAAAAAAAGCCCTACACCAAAAAAAATCCCAGTTAAGTGAAAGCCCACCCTCCACCTTCTGCAGCAACCAGAAGAAGACAACATGACTGTATTTGAATAAAGATAGATTGTTGTACATGAATAAAATAAATCAGGCCCTGAAAATAAGCCCTAATGCATTTTTGGAGCAAAAATTAATATAAGACCCAGTCTTATTTTCTGGGAAACACAGTAGAAGAAGAGAGAGAGCTTGGTGAGTTGGATGAAAGACATCCCATTACCTGTAAGTGTTAAGTCAGAGGTTTTGGAGATTGTGGGAAGAAGCTTACATAATGCATTCAACAGAACTTTCACTCTAAGATTTTCTTTGCTTATACAGACCCACATTGATCCTGAGCCACGTTCAGTCAGTTCTACTTTCTTTCTTTCTTTCTTTTTGGCAAAGAGCAAATATAAAACTGTTTTGTAGCCAGTCTTTGCTCTCGATAGAGCTTTCAAAATTAAGACAAATATACACATTAATTAATTATGAAATTATGGACTAGAAGCAACAATGAGAAACTAAAAGCACTGAAAACTCTGGCTCTCACAGTAAGCAACCCTAGAGGATCATAAGAATGTAAGAACATAAGAAGAGTCCTGCTGGATCAGGTCAAGGGCCCATCTAATCCAGCTTCCTGTATCTCACAGTGGCTCCGCCAGATGCCTCTGGGATCATAAGAACCTATCTCACCCTGAGTCAGGCCAATGGTCTGTCTAGATGAAAACTGTAACTATGAGTGGCAGCAGCTCTCAGATAGGATTTTTTATTTCCTAGCTCCACCTGCATATCACTGGTTTTAGCTACTGTTCTCCCATCCAAGCACTAAACAGGTCTGACTCTGCTTAACTTATGAAATAGGTATAATTGGGTGTGTCCAAGACAAAATGATTTCAGTAGGAAACTAGCAATTTTACTTCTCCATGTGTGATTAATCCCCACATACATACACACAGTAACTATGAAGCGTTTCCAATACATTTGCCACCCAGACTAAACCTTTGGTCTATATGAGTAGAAGTCCAATAAAATAAATAAAATAAATAAATAAAACATGCAGTACCTAATATAGGCAAGCAAGATTAACCTGAATATATATTGTTTTGTTCCGTTCTTTACAGGACGTCTGATAAATCTCAACACAAGTTATGTCTTTAGCATGAATTGCATGGGACATGTGTTGTATTCTAAAATGAAGTTGAAAGAAAGTAGTAAGGAAAATACTTACTCGAACTTTTGGCAAGACTCTCCTTATTGTCTCTGTCGGATTTTGCCTCATTAGGACTGGAAGACTTGCAACCACGCTTGTTCCTTGGATATCCTGACCAGAACTTGTGTAAAAAACAATAATATATATTTATTTATTTTAAAAACATTCTATAGTTAAATCAGTTTCCACAAAAAAGATGAAAAGCTATGTTAGATAAAGCTCATCTGCATACCAAAAGATTTAAACATGAGTTTATCATTTTAAAATTAGTTTCAAAACACCTCCAATAGAAACAATGGTGTAACAATAAATAATGTAACAAAATACAGCAAAAACATTTTACTTCCATGCAATATATTACACATGACCTCCTCAAAAAACATCTACGACTGATTTAGCAAATACAGGGTTGTCTAGACGCAGCATTTCTTCCTCCCTATTTTGCTTCTGTTGGTGCCACTGTCACAAAGTACAGATATGATCAGATGTGATATAAGATGGCCTTGGGGTGGCTTTGCCAAGAATACTCTTTAAAAATGACTCTTCTGTTCACATGCAATCTGGTCCTGATGCTCCAGCCCAGCTCCAAAAAAACAGTACCTCTGCAGAGATCCTGACTGGGCATGGAACAGAGTGAGGTTAGTTTGTTGTATGATCACCATAAAACAGATCAAACAAGATAATGCTCTTGTAAGTTTGTAAGTCAAGACCCCACTGTACCTCTGCAGAGATCCTGACTGTGCATGGAACAGAGTAAGGTTAGTTTGTTGTATGATCACCAGAAAACAGATCAAACAAGATCATGCTCTTGGTGGTCCAAAAACTGACCTAAATTGCCTTCTGACCACATCCTTAGTGATACTTGGCCATGGATCCTACTGGGTCTGTCTAAAACACTTATCTCTTTAAGCAATCAACATCTCTGAGAAATGGATTAAAAGTCCTGATGAAACCTTTGAAGAAACCCTTAACGACCCTTTCTCTGTCTCCTCAATTTTTCCCCTCCACTTTGCATTAATGGGTTAGCCCTAAATTGAAAGCTTCCAATGGCAGCAGACGATCACTGCTGATCTACTTCAGATTTCAGCTGACTTCAGAAACAACACTTAAAACTCTGGAAGAAATCCTAGGAATGGCCTTGTGTGCTAGATTTTTGAGAATTTTTTTTGTTTAAGTAGAATAATGCTAAGCTAAAAGTTCCTACCATTAATCCACTTCCAAAATAAGCTCTCTTGCAAAAGTTCTCCCCAAATCATTTTTCTGATTAAAATTTTATTTGCTTAATAGTGGAACACTGATAAACTGAAATGTTCTGACTGGAGAAGTTCTTGCCACCTGAAATTCCACATCAATTCAAAGTGAAACAAAAAAACGCTCTCACCCATAGGTGTTTTTTCAAAAGCATGTAAAAACTGGGTTTTCGTTACAGATTGTCACAGCTGGTACCAGTTTAAGCCTTGTGTCATCTGGTCAACACAAAAAATACTAGCACCATCAATGCACAGAATGTGGAAGAGATGCTCCACTTATACAATTCCATAGAAGCATTAGGCAGTGAAGGGACATGACTCAGGAAACTTCTAATGTTATGTTTCTATGTATTGTTTATCATTTTGGAACACTGCTTCAATAAAATACATATTGTTAGATTATGTGCAATAAAATATTATTTTTATGCAAATTTAAGCACTTTCTAACCAGAATAGACGTCATAAAAATATGACATGAATCTTTGCATGTCACTTTAAGGCAGGAATTCTAATTTGTTAGAATACAAGCAGCATGCTATTGCAAAGAAGCCTACCTTTTCTCTTGTTTTGCTACTCATGTAGGCAGCTAACCAAATCAGACCAGGATACTTAAGCACAGTTTCATTCTGTACTGAACAGCATGCAAACAAGCCAGGATTCATAAGCCAACAATATTTGGTTTAAACCGCCTTAGGTTCTTTTTAAAGGAGAAAGGTGGAATAAAAATATTTTAAATAAAATAAAATAAAAAATTGGATCGTTTTGGCACAATCCCAGGTTAACATATAAAGCTCTCTGTGCCTAGTGTGCTTACTCATAATATAAACAAGAAGAAAACAGTAAGACCAAAAAGATTCATTAACTAGTATGCTGCTCTTGCACACTGAGATTGACAAATTATGTATGATTCATATCTTAAAGTGATGCAGAAATGTTACAACTTTATTTCTACCTTCTCAAATTTTTATGACATATCCAACTGGAGTAGAGGGGACAAAAAAGCCTTTGCTTACTATTATTAGGAAAAAGTCATTAAAAAAGTACTGTGAGCACAACTGAAAACCCTTTCCACTTCCAAAAGAAAAATTAGTCAGACAACACTTCTAGGAAACACTTCCATCTGAGATCTTGGCAACACTGGCCAGAATTTTAATGGTTAGTTACACTGGTGTAAATGAAATGGATTAAAATGCAATGGCAAATTAATGCTACTTAACAAGTTGCTACTTGTATCCCTCATCAAACACCAGTTGCATGAGTTGATATGTAATGAAGAATACAAACAGTAACTTGTTAATTAGTGGCAGTTTTTGTCACTGCACATATAACTAACCAATTGGATTCTGGCCACCATGGGCTAGATGGCCCAACTATTTCATTTGATGTAAAGCAGTTTTATATGTTCTTTCATCTATTAACAAATTCACTCGTGTGCAAATTGAAAGGGACGCCAGATGGAAACGATAATAACACAATATTAGTCATACAAACTATACCAAAAAGTTGAAATAATTCCAAAATCTATTCTTACAGAAATTAACTCTGGACTCAATACCTCTTTCACATTTTAAATAGCTGATTATTAGCATGGACCACTGAAAATGCATATACTAAACATTCTTCTTACATGTAGCTAATTAAATGGGTGCAGTCTTTCATTTTAGTACAAACGAGAAGCAAGCATTTATGTAAACACAATGTAAAAGCAAAACAGCAGTAGGGTGATATACATTTCTATAATTCTAAAGCAAAGGAAGGCATTCCTTTAAAATGAAAAGTTCTGAGTAGCTGGCTTGCTCTCAATTTAAAATGTGAAGCACAGGCTTTTCAACACCTACACAGGCTGCAATTTTCCAACTGTGAAAAAATTTACTTTTATTTCTACTGCAGAATTGGTAATCCTTTGGTCTTTCACTAACCAGAATTAAATGGTTTATCACACTATGGTCCAACTAACAGGTTTAACAGAGTAAGATGCACCAAAATACTTGTAGGATAGTTATTCACTAAAGGATCATGAAGTGGTTGGGCCAAAGCCGAAAGGACGCTCAGCTGCGGATGTGCCTGGAAGTGAAAGGAAAGTCTGATGCTGCAAAGAAAAATACTGCATAGGAACCTGGAATGTAAGATCGATGAACCTTGATAAGCTGGATGTGGTCAAACAGGAAATGGCAAGAATCAACATTGACATCCTGGGCATCAGTGAACTAAAATGGACAAGAATGGGCAAATTCAATTCAGATGATTATCATATCTGCTCCGGTGGCCAAGAATCCCTTAGAAGGAATGGAGTAGCCCTCACAGTAAACAAAAGAGTGTGAAAAGCTGTACTGAGATACAAATGATAGAATGATTTCAATACGAATCCAAGGCAGACCTTTCAACATCATTGTAATCCAAGTTTATGCACCAACCACTGATACTGAAGAGGCTGAAATTGACCAATTCTATGAAGATTTACAACACCTTCTAGAACTAATACCAAAGAAAAATGTTCTTCTCATTACAGGGGACTGGAATGCTAAAGAAGGGAGTCAAGAGATAAAAGGAACAACAGGTAAGTTTGGCCTTGGAGTTCAAAACAAAGCAGGGCAAAGGCTAATAGAGTTTTGTCAAGAGAAGAAGATGGTCTTCACAAACATTATTTTCCAACAACACAAGAGACTCTGCACATGGACACCACCAAATGGGCAATACCGAAATCAGATTGATTATGTTCTCTGCAGCCACAGATGGAGAAGCTCTATACAGGCAGCAAAAACAAGACCTGGAGCTGATTGTGGCTCTGATCATCAGCTTCTTATAG